TCAACTGGAGTTCGCGCTGGATGCAGAACAGCTCCCTCTTCCATTTGCAGGGTTCACAGCAGTTCCAAGCATCTACGTTGTGCCAGTCGTCGCCCCAGCGGGCCCATAACTGATACCACTCCCGATTACCCTCACAGTGAATGTAGTCTTGTAAAAATCATTTGTCTGCAGTAAACTTTTGAAGCATAGGAAGAGTCACGGTGCTGTTTGTGCCTAATAAATCACGGAGCCCCTTTTCTCGGCCCTAACACTTGCTCGTGAGGCTAAAACGCGGCGTTTCGCCAAGATGTCTGGCCTTCCTAAAAAAGCAAAGGAAAAGTTGTGAAGGCATGATCATCTCGGCCTTGATTATAGGCCGATGCCGAAGCCGAACAAAATCACGGCCAAAGGCACTAAGGTCAGATCATCAAGTGGCAGCAGGGTCCCACGTTTCATTTAATGAAGCAATGCCTCTGTTTATGGTAGCAAACCCACTGACCACGAATAAGCATTTAATGCACGAGGGACGGTGGGAAGTGATTGAAGTCAGGATTTGATGATAGGAATCAGAGTGATTAGACGCAGACATTCTCACAAGAATTCTTGCAGTTTGAGAGATTGGGTCACCAACTATCAGAAACAATAAATGCTTCTCCACGGCCAGAAGCGCAGAACCCACGATCAGGGCGGCGGCTGAGATTCACCGGGATTTATGGGGTCACACCACCATACTTCACAATCCCAAATGTCGATTGGATTACCCACTTGCTCTAATCAGCCTCCACCATGCAGATTTTTAGCCTCGATTACTCCTCCAAGAACTCTTCCTTTCTATATCTTTACTTGCTTTCCTAGGAGTAGTGTTAGTTTGTAAGGAAAATCCATTTATCAATATATCATACGACCCTTGATTTTCAAGGCGCCGGAGCACCATATCTATTACTCATTCATTCACCCCATATATCATACAACCGCCGCTCACTGAACAGCGCGCCGTAGCACCGCCCAAAACCCACCATCATCACCACCCCTAAACGGCCTTATAGCTCAGGCCGTGAACCTTACAGCCGAGATCAGTTCATCTCTCGCCTACAATCGTTTGATTAGAAGACGAGTTCAAACAGGCGCACCACTTGACCATTCTATCCACATCAACATCTCGACGCACGGTAGACCGTGCTGGCACGCCCGCGCACAACCGCACCGCATCCAAAAGCAGGAAGCCATGTGTTAACGCACATCCCCTCGGCCCGGAACCCCAGGCCGTGAGATCTGCGCAGCCGACACTTTTGGCACGCCCAGTGGGATACTTGTCAAAAACTCGTGGTGGAAACTAGGGCACAGGCAAAGCTCAAAAACAAAGCGGTCGAAATGACTTCTGAGACTCCTGAGTCCACCTCACCAATCACTGTCACCGAGACCGAACACGCGGTTAGAATCTCGGCCAGCGTCCCAACGACGACGGATCGCACGGCTGAGTCCATGCAAGAGCAGGCCGTGGTGGAGGATTTGATGTCTAAGCAGGCCCACAGGATAGAGACATCCTTTATGGCCGCGATGGACAGATTTTCCTCGGAACTACGGACGCTTTTCCAGGAGAGGACGCCGGCGACCTCGCCCGCAACACCTCCTAGAGCAGGACAGAGAGGCCAAGAGCGTTGAAAGGATCGAGCCCTACGGCGAAAGCAGCAGCGTCGGCATCTCTGCCCGAACCCAAGCGTCAGGTTACAGTCAGCATTCGCTGCCACCGGCGAATAGCTAGGGGCAGTCCCAGCCCACATGGGCGAGCCCCGGACCAACCTACCCGGCAGAGACAGCATACGGCCCACTCCACGCTTTGGCCGTATCCTTGGGACAAACCAGTCCCACGCATTCTGCGGTTCAGCAGCTCGGCCCAGTTCACACTGCGGCCGTCCAGACCCATCCTGGCCCAAGCAGCGCGACCGCTGCTCCATCACAATAGTACGGTCAGAGCAATCCGACCGTTTCACCCCCATTGCAGGCGTCGTTATTCCCGTTGGGCTCCCACCTTCATTACGGTTCGGCCATTCCGACGGTAGCATACACGCACCCTGGCCAAACCCATGGCGCTCACCTGGCGCCAGCCAGCTCGGCCGTACTAGCCGAGCCCCCTGTTCAAATGGCCCAGCAGATAAGGCCGTAGAATGATGTGCAGCAGGTCCCGTGGCCGTATGCGGCCCAGCAAGAAGCACCCCCTCAAGGGCTCCGATTCGAAGATGTCCGGCGAATGATCGAGGACGGCCTCACTCAGAGGCGACCGGAAGCGCCAAGGTATACAAAGCCGTACCCGCCGGAAATTGACCGAACCCCTCTTTCCCGGAACTATCGATTGCCTGAATTCATGCTTTTCTCCGGGGATGGGCAGACCTCCTCCATTGAACACATAGGCCGCTTCACGGCCCAGTGTGGAGAGGCCGATTCAGACGCACAGAAGCTCCGTTTATTTGTTCACTCTCTGACCGGCGCAGCGTTCTCATGGTTCATAAACCTTCCGCCGAATTCGGTAAGGGATTGGTCTTATATGGAAAGGATATTCCACGAACATTTCTATCAGACCAACCGAGAAATAACGGTCGCCGAGCTAGCAAGGATGAGCCAGGCGTCAGACGAATCACCTCGCGACTACTTGCAGCGGTTCAAAACATGCAGGAACTGGTGCCGCACAAACCTACCGGAGAGGGAATTATTCAAGATGGCCAAAGAGGGGTTGGAGTTCGAGTACTGGAAAAAATTCCAGGGGATCGAATTCCGAGATATGCATGACTTGATCAACAAGGTGGACAGGTACGCGTCCTTGTTGAAGGAAGAGATGCAGAAGAAGACGGCTTCAAAAGGGACTTACTACAGGAATCTCATTGTCAGCTATGCCGAAGCAGACGGCTTCGCAGAGGCCGAGAGCGACGAAGTAGAGATGAGTTTAGCCGAAGTCAGCATAGACAAACCATTCGTCTGCAAAGGACTTATCAAGGCCGACAATAGCCGTACAAAAATTCCCGACGCCAAGTTTGCAACTCGGGAAACGAAGGCCTACACTTTTGACTTAACAAGGGCCGAAGCTATTTTTGACCTGCTATTGGCCGAAAAAAAGGTCAAGTTGTCATTCGGCCATAAAATTCCGAAGCCCGACGAGCTCAAAGGGAAGACATTTTGCAAATACCATAGTTCTTGGTCTCACAACACCAACAACTGCGTTGTCCTGCGAGACATCATCCAGAAGTTGATAGACGAAAAGAAGCTCCAGTTCCAAGAGAAGGCGGCCATGCAGGTTGACTCCAAGCCATTCCCTCCACCTGTCGTCAACATGGTCGATGCCCAACTCCGAGCTGAATATAGGGAAATTCGTCGGCCGGCGAAGGAGAAGGAACCATCGGCCGAATCAGAGCCAGTGCTTTGTGTTTGTGCCTAATGAATCACGGCCATAAGTTGGCCGAAGGAGCCCTTTCTCTCGGCCCTGGCACTTGTTCGCAGAAGCTGAAACGCAGCGTTTCGCCAGGGTATTTCGCCTTCCTAAAAATACAAGAGGCCGAACAAAATTGCGGCCAAGGCATTAAAGGCAAATCATCACGTGACAGCAGGGTCCTAGGCTTCATTTAATGAAGTAGTGCTTGTTTAATGCAGCAAACCCATTGGCCACAAAGAAGCATTTAATGCATGAGGGAAGGTGGGAAGTGACTGAAGTCAGGATTTGGTGATGAGGATCAGAGTGATTAGACGTGGACATTCTCACAAGAATTCTGACAGCCTGAGATATTGGTTCACCAGCTATCCATGCCATAAATGCGTCTCCACGGCCAGAGGCTCAGAACCCCACGATCAAGAGTGGCGGCCGAGATTCACCGGGATTTCTGGGGTCTCACCACCATACTTCACGATCCCAAATGTCGATTGGACTGCCCACTTGCGCTAATCAGACTCCACTATGCGTAAATTCAGCCTCGATTACTCATCCAGGGACTCTTCCTATAAATACAAGACTCAAGCTACATTCAAAGGGTTCAACACCAAAACAAAGCCTCCCATGGAGCAACTTATTTTTTTCTGTAATGCACTTTCAATATCTTTACTTGCTTTCCTAGGAGTAGTGGTAGATTGTAAGGAAAATCCATTCATCAATATATCATACGACCCTTGATTTTCAAGGCGCCGGAGCACCACCCTTATCGTTCATTCACTCACCCCATATATCACACGACCGTCGCTCCCTGAGCAGCGCGCCGGAGCACCGCCCAAAACCCACCACCAACACCATCACTCAACGGCCTTGTAGTTCAGGCCGTGAACCTAACAGCCGAGACCAGTTCCTCTCTCGGCTACAATCGTTTGACTAAGAAGACAGATCAAACAGGCGCACCACTCATCCATCCAACACTTATCAAAACATCAACGCACGGTAGACCGTGCTGGCACGCCCGCGCACAACCGCACCGCACCCAAAAGTAGGAAACCCCGTGTTAACGCACATCCCCTCGGCCTGGAACTTCAGGCCGTGAGATTTGCACGGCAGACACTTTGTGAGCGATGCAGGTGTGAGGTCGGTCAGCCCAGGCTACAGGGGAACAAGAGGAAGGCCACTGAGCCATCTCAACCGATCGCGAAGAAATTCGGTGGTCAGAGCAATCCTCGGATTGCCAACAGGGCTGTTTTCAACCGACTGGGAGCACAGACCCCCAGTATCCCGATGGGCTACGAAGACGAGGCCCCCCTAGGCCAGTAAAAACTTTCAAACCACCGGTCATGCGGGATGACCGTTGGTACCATGCACGACCTGGGGGCAGGGCCGAACCATTGATAAAAACCCAGCTGGGAAGGATGCAGAGGTAGGCCCAGCAAGCCAGGATACAGACGACCCAGGCCGAGAGTTCCAAGCGCCAGAAGAAAATAGCGACTACAGACGGGCCGTCATCACCACCGATTGTCCCCTCTACGACAAGGACAGCCAGCATCAAGCCTCCAAGGACGTGGCGCCCTAAGCAGGGCGAGAACCCCCGTAGAACGGCAGCCGTTTCGGTCTAGCCAAATGCCGTGCTCCTGGAGAAATCAGACAACGGCATCATCGACGTCTACCACGGAAGGGATCCCCCTTTCTCGGCCAACGGTTTGTCCTTTCTCTTGGAATTCCATAAAGACTATTCGGCCACCGACCTGTACGGCATGACTCCTGAGAACAGTGAAATCGTGGAGTTGGCCTTCAAAAACGCGAAGGCAGAGGGACTCCTCATTACCAACGGATACGACCTCGCCATGAAGGCCGTGTACCAGGCGAACAGGGAAGCCAGTGCGAGAGGGATGCCAAGATACCAGCCCGACCTAGCATGATTGGAGGCTAAGGCCCCCTTCAGCAATGGCGACTTGGAGTATCTCCGCCAGTATTTCACCGTGATTCCGGCTGACACTATCTTTGGTCTGACGACCGAGGAAAGGACCCGGATAGGCCGTCTGAACGACTACTTAATAGCTAGGGATACGTTGGCCAAGGCTAGACGAGCCCTCGAAGGGAAAGTCGAGAGCTCGGACCCCCCCAAGATCGAAGCATCCACAGACGACATCCCCGGGACTGCGAGGCCTGTGATCGAGGGCCCCGGTGACCCTTTCTTTGGGCATGAGGCCAAAGACGACCCCACCTTGGGAATATCCGATGAAGAATACGATGAGATCCTCGGGATGGTTGAGGAGAAAACCCTCGCCGGGAACGGCTATGAGGCCGAGGAGGAAGCTGGTAAGGAAGACCAGCAGGAGCCGAGGGAGGCCAGCGTGAACATGGTCCTGGTACTACCGTCTGAGTTCTCAGCCCCAAGAGGGCAGACTAACGGCTTGGATAATGACATGGCCGAGGAGCAGCTAGATCAGAGGCCAAAGACAAAGGAAGAATTGTTGGCCGTAGCTTTTAACGAGGTAATACCCAGAGACGAGCCGAACAAAAATCAACATCTCAAGCCGTTGTATATTTCGGCTCATGTAGAGGGTGTGCCCGTGTCCAAGGTCTTCGTCGACTGTGGGGCCACGGTCAATATCCTTCCCTATTCCCTGATGAGGAAGCTAGACAAATCAAAGGAGGACCTCATCCCCAACGACGTGGTCATGAGCAGTTTTGTCGACGATAAATCTTAAACCATCGGGGTATTGCCGTTAAAAATCACCGTGGCCGACCAGACAAGGGTCGCAGCCTTCTACGTAGTCGAATCCAGTGTGGACTACAATATATTGCTCGGTCGTGACTGGATCCACCAATCCGGATGCATACCGTCCTCCCTCTTCCAACTACTTTTCTTTTGGGACGGCCAGAGGGTGTCCATACACCCGGCCGACGAAAAACCCTTCGAAACCAACGCTGTGCAAGCACGAATTTACGAAGACGACGTTGGATGGGTTGTCCTCACCAGCCACGATGCAAGCGGCCGACCGACCAGGACAACGGCCCAGAAAGTACTGGAGTTAGGCGCCGAGAATGTCCAACAGGATTCGGCGCGCGAAGTATTGATCGACCTCACCAGCCTTTAGATGACAGACAAAGCCACTAAAGAAGAAGGAGCGGCGGCCGTGACCGACCTGCTGGAAAGACTGCTGGAACATTGGGCGGAGGAATCCCTGCGGCCAAACTCACCAATCAACCTGATTGAATTCCTCCATGAATCAGACAAGACGAACGCTTTGACGTTTGACGACCTAGAAACGGCGCCCGCCGAAATGGAGGATGACTACCCCGAGGTCCAGGACCCTTTATTAGAAATCAATGTAAGATCGAAGGCCGAGCCACGGCCTCTTTTTGTAAGCCAGCTTTTGGACCCTGACTTAGCGGCCGAGATTATCGGCCTGCTCCATGAATATAAAGATTGTTTTGCTTGGGATTACCATGAGATGCTTGGGTTGCCGAGAAGTTTGGTTGAGCACGAATTAAAAATCAAGGAGGGGTTTAGGCCTTTCCAACAATCGCTGAGGCGGTTCTCGACCGAAGTGCAACTTAAAGTCAAGGAAGAAATTGAACGACTCCTTAAAGCTGGCTTCATCCGAACGGCCCGATACGTTGAGTGGTTGGCCAACATCGTACCAGTTTTGAAGAAGACCGGGGCCTTGAGGGTTTGCACCGATTACAGAAATCTGAATCTTGCAACCCCAAAGGACGAGTACCCCATGCCTATGTCAGACCTCCTGGTAGACGGAGCCGCAAAGCACGAACTCCTGTCTTTCATGGACGGCCATGCTGGTTACAACCAAATTTTCATAGCCGAGGAAGATGTCCACAAAACGGCATTCCGATGCCCGGACACAATCGGAACCTATGAGTGGGTGGTCATGCCGTTCGGCCTAAAGAATGCTGGCGCGACACACCAGTGAGCTATGAACCTTATTTTCCACGACCTTATAGGCTGGACCGTTTAAGTCTACATCGACGACGTGGTTGTAAAGTCCCCATCCAAAGCCAACCACGTAGGACATCTCTGACAGGTTTTCAACCGAATGCGAGCGCACGGCCTAAAGATGAACCCGAAGAAGTGTGCTTTCGGTGTCACCGCCGGGAATTTCCTCGACTTCTTAGTTCACCAACGAGGAATCGAGGTAGATAAAAATAAAGCTACGGCCATTATGGCGGCCCCTCCGCCAAGGACCAAGAAGGAGCTCCAGTCCTTCCTCGGTAAGGTCAACTTTTTAAGGCGGTTCATAACCAATTTGGCAGGGAAAATCCGGTCGTTGACCCCTCTGCTCAAACTGAAAGACACGGAACGGTTCGTATGGGGAGCAGAACATCAAGCGGCCCTCGACGACATCAAGAAATATTTATCTCAACCACCGGTCCTTATGCTGCCGAAAAAAGGGAAACCCTTGAGACTTTACATTTCGGCTTCGGAGAGCTCTATCGGCTGTCTGCTGGCTCAAAACAACGAGTCAGAACGAGAGCAAGCAGTGCACTACCTAAGCCGTACCCTTAACATGGCCGAACTAAACTATTCGCCGATCGAGAAACTATGCTTAGCGCTTTATTTCGCGGCTACCAAGTTGCGCCATTATATGCTCCCCTCGGTCATTCAGATCATCTCCAAGACCGATCTCATCAAATATATGCTCACCCGGCCGATCATACGCGGCCGAATTGGGAAATGGACAATGGCGTTGTCCGAATTCACCTTCCAATATGTGGCTCAGAAGTCGGTCAAGGGTCAGGCATTGGCCGATTTCTTGGCTCACCACCCGGCTCTGGGGCAGGAAGAGGAGTTGGAGGTCGAGATCGGCATGGCCCGTATGGAGAAGAACTACTGGACCATGTACTTCGACGGCTCCAGTACCGAGGCCAGGTCCGGAGCCGGAGTCATGATCGAATCCCCTCAAGGATAAAGGTGGCAATTTGCGTTCCAGCTTGATTTCAAATGCACCAATAATCAGGCCGAATACGAGGCACTCATCATCTCCCTCGAAATTCTGAAAGAAATGAAGGCGACCCGTGTCTTGGTCTACGGTGATGCTCAGCTGGTAATTAACCAACTGACCGGGGAATACCAGTGCACAAGCGAGAATTTAACTATGTATTACGTAGCGGCCCTCAATACGGCCGACGATTTCTCGAGGACTTCCTTTGTCCACGTACCAGGCGCCGAAAACCATGAGGCCAATGAGATGGCCCAAGTGGCTTCAGGTGTGAATATTCCGAACAATAACCACGATCGTGTGATAAGAATCGAGAGACGTAACGTTCTGACAGCATACTCAAAAAGCACGATGACGTGTCGAAAGCCTAGAGGCCGTCGTTTTGTCTGACGAAACGAAGCGACGCCTCGCGTAAGTCTGGGCAATGATGGCCTGCACGACGTGCTTGGGCATTAAATGCGCCGAACAAAAGCCTCCCACGGAGCAAATTATATTTTCCTGTAATGCACTTTCAATATCTTTACTTGCTTTCCTAGGAGTAGTGTTATTTTGTAAGGAAAATCCATTCATCAATATATCATACAACCCTTGATTTTCAAGGCACCGGAGCACCATCTATGTTACTCATTCATTCACCCCATATATCATACGACCGCCGCTCACTGAGCAGCGCGCCGGAGCACCGCCCAAAACCCACCATCATCACCACCCCTAAACAGTCTTGTAGCTCAGGCCGTGAACCTTACAGCCAAGATCAGTTCCTCTCTCGGCTACAATCGTTTAATTAGAAGACGAATTCAAACAGGCGCACCACTTGACCATTCTATCCACATCAACATCTCGACGCACGGTAGACCGTGCTGGCACGCCCGCGCACAACCGCACCGCATCCAAAAGCAGGAAGCCACGTATTAAGGCACATCCCCTCGGCCCGGAACCCCAGGCTGTGAGATCTGCGCAGCCGACACTTTTTGGCACGCCTTCTTCGTTTTGCTGAGATGGCACAAAAACTCCATCGCATTCTCCTTGCCCTCGCTAGGGTTCAACAGCCCTAGCAAGCCAACAAGGTAGGAGGCTTCCTTATGCCCTGCCATAGCCGCCACCCGCAGGTTCTTCAGCGCCTCATCATCATTCTTCAGGAAGAAGTCCTGAATAGCTTCTCTGTAAATGATTTCTGGATTGTTATGTTCTTCGCACTTTTGCAAGAACTCAACAATTTTGCCTTCCTCAATTGGGTACCAGTCCTGATGCCACTGGTACTTATCCACTGACACCGTTGTCCAAACCTCAGGATTGTTGAGCATTTCTTTAAACAACTTGAAGGTTGCCGCCATGTTGTACAAATCTTCAGAGGACTGCTTTGCAACCACGAGCAGCACCTTAAACCATGCCAAATGTGGAATGTCCATCTTGGTTGTTGGAGAAGAGGAACTGAAAAGGGTCTGTGGAGAAGAGGACTGAAAAGGGTCTATGGAGAAGAGGACTAAAAAGGGTCTGTGGAGAAGAGGGACTGAAAATGGTCTGTGGAGGTTTTAATAATCAAGGTGTCGTTTGGGGACGAAGAAGGAAGTGCCGCATATAAACCCAACCGGCGTGACCCACTTGACAATGGACGAAGACAAGGGTTTAGATCAGTTTATATTATATTATTCGTTTCCCAAGCGCTGTGATTGAAACGACAATTGACAGTTATCGCTGAAGCTGGAGGGACTCAATTGGTTTCGCGCACTCCCATATTGAGAGCATTTATGATACCATTTGTCACCGGCAGCAGTCACAAAATTATAAATGCTTTTCGTCATAATTATTATGCTAAAATCACATCACCACTTTTGAAGCAAATGTGATACTTGATTTGTCTGCTTTTCACCTGTAAAGAAAATGAAACAACTGTGTCTGATACTAATAATGCAAATATGACATCACCACGGAAATTAGGTATCTCAAGTGGCGGCTCCCCAGTCCAAGTGAACAAATTAATTTTGGCGGGAAAATTAGTAAGCGGACTGCTGTATAAATAACAAAGTTATATATTCTACCTCACATTGCACCACCAGTTGGTCCAAACAACCCTCAACTCACCAAAAAATGCAGACCATATCTCACACAAGAATAAGAACACTGAAGATGTTCCTATAGGACCTACGAAATCCATCAACTTTTCATCTGAGGACCACAATGATGCAAGCTGTATCGGCCAGATGCGGTACGATGCGTTGAAGACTGAAATAAAAAATCAGAAGATACGTCTAAGATGGTATGAAGAAACATTGGGGAAGGGGAAAAGTCAAGCGAAATTACACCTTCGATCAGTCAAACTAATGAAACTGAGGGTTAGGCTTGCGAGAGGAAAAGGTTGTCGAAGGTTCCGGGGGTCAAATGAGGCAGTGCATATGAGGGAAGCAGAAGCACGTAAAGGATTTGACCTGTTCCGAGAGTATGCAAAATGTGTTGTCCCAAGCTACAACTGGGACGGAATCACCATGGAGTAAACCGTCGCTGGACAACGTTCATTTTCATTATTTTCAGTAAGTTTGTTTGGAAAAAATGCGTAAACGTTCATTTTGACTGCTTTTGTTCCAAGTTTGTGTTCGCTCCTGAAGGTGTAACCATTTGCTTTGGACACTTCAGATGGTATCTTGTATGTATCCAAGCTGTAAGACGTGAAGAAAGAGCGAGTGAAAAATATGGGAAACTGCTTTTGGTTTATTATAAGTACTTTTGTAAAGCTAAATGGGTATGCTTTAATTGAAGTATGTTTACATTATTTTCTGTCACCATATTTAATTTCTCTTTAGAAAATGCCTAAAAAGAATGGGATAGTTTTTAGCATTGATTGGATCTCCCTCACAGGAGTTGTTGTTCCTAAAATGGTAATATGAGGTTTGGTTATTCGTGTGAAATATATAATTTGACCAAGGAAATAACAATAATAATATTCTGTGTGTCATTTGAAAGGAGAAAATAAGACTAATTTTTCCCAATATTTAGATACGAAGCATAAGTTATTTTTCCCAATGAACAAACTCTTGTTTATGATGCAACTCCCCCTTTTGACTTAAAATTAAAGAATAAGTTATTTTTAGTGGGTTCAAATACAACCTCTACGCAACCGTTAACACATGTTGTTGATACTATGTTGAACCATAAACCGTAAATGGTGCCACACTGTGTTTTCAAATGTGGTTTAGGTACCATTTAATTAGTTATTTCATGATATATTGTTATTTTCTTATTTAGGTAGTTTTAGGATATCTTTTATTATTTATGTGTGATTTTATAATTAATGAGTTTACTTTTGGATCAAGTCGCGTTGGTGCCCAAGTCTTGTAAAGCCTATAATAAGGCTAATGTAATAGTTGTAGGGTAGTTTATGTTGATGATGAATGAAATAGTTTATTTGTGGCATGGATTTGCTACGATATATGTGAGTTTGCACTAGCCCTAGATTTCGGTGCTCGTGTCGTGTGTGTGGTTGGTGACCTATGTCCGGACCCCGATTCCCATCAGTACGGGGGGGATTTTCGTAGGTGACCCCATGGTGAGTTCAGGGTTGTTTGGACCAACTGGTGGTGCAATGTGAGGTTAAATATATCACTTACTAATTTTCCCGCCAAAATTAATTTGTTCACTTGGACTGGGGAGCCGCCACTTGAGATACCTAATTTCCGTGGTGATGTCATATTTGCATTATTAGTATCAGATACACTAGTTTCATTTTCTTTACAGGTGATAATCAGACAAATTAAGTATCATATTTGCAGAGATTTAAGGGTTCGCGCGGCGTGGTTGAAATGTAAGTTACCTTGAGAACGTGTGCTGTCATATTTGCATTATCAGTATCATAAACACAGTTTTCTTTTTCTGTACTGGTGATACGCGTTCATATTTAGTTCCATATTTGGCAAGAAGCAACTGCTTAGTTGTTAATGTTAAAATGCAAGTTACCTTCACTCGTTCTGATGTCATTTTTGCATTATTAGTATCATATACACTGTGATCATTTACTTTACGGTTAATGGTGCGTTGATATTTAGTTTCAAGGTTGGCAAAATGAAACTGATTACTTGGTCATGTTCAAATGTAACTAAGTCATTTGCTTCATAAGTGGTGATGTGATTTTAGCATAATAATTATGACAAAAAGCATTTATAATTTTGTGACTGCTGCCGGTGACAACTGGTATCATAAATGCTCTCAATATGGGAGCGCGCGAAACCAATTGAGTCCTCCAGCTTCGGCGATAACTGTCAATTGTCGTTTCAGTCACAATGCTTGGGCAACGAATAATATAATATAAACTGAACTAAACCCTTGTCTTCGTCCATTGTCAAGTGGGTCACGCCGGTTGGGTTTATATGCGGCACTTCCTTCTTCGTCCCCAAATGACACCTTGATTATTAAAACCTCCACAGACCATTTTCAGTCCCTCTTCTCCACAGACCCTTTTTAGTCCTCTTCTCCACAGACCCTTTTCAGTCCCTCTTCTCCACAGACCCTTTTCAGTCCCTCTTCTCTAACAACCAAGATGGACATTCCACATTTGGCATGGTAAGGTGCTGCTCGTGGTTGCAAAGCAGTCCTCTGAAGATCTGTACAACATGGCGGCAACCTGCAAGTTATTTAAAGAAATGTTCAACGATCCTGAGGTTTGGACAACGGTGTCAGTGGATAAGTACCAGTAGCATCAGGACTGGTACCCAAGTGAGGAAGGCAAAATTGTTGAGTTCTTGCAAAAGTGCAAAGAACATAACAATCCAGAAATGATTTACAGAGAAGCTATTCATGACTTCTTCCTATTGAAAGATGATGAGGGCATGATGAACCTGCGGGTGGCGGCTATGGCAGGGCATGAGGAAGCCTCCTACCTTGTTGGCTTGCTAGGGTTGTTGAACCCTAGCGAGGCAAGGAGAATGCGATGGAGTTTTTGTGCCATCTCAGCAAAACGAAGAAACTGAACATGCAAGCTTGCAGGGATTCAATAAGCTTGCGACTAGGTCAGTATACAATGTCTGGCACCAAAACTCCTCCTCTGGTTGAAAAGTTTACTGCAGACCAAGATTTTTTTCAAGATTGCATTTACTGTGAGGGTATCAGTTCGGGGACCGCAGAGCCGACGACTGGGGCAACGTACATGCTTGGAACTGCTGTGAACCCTACAAATGGAAGAGGGAGCTGTACTGCATCCAGCACGAACTCTACTTGATGACTGCGTTTGATATATAAGTCTATATACATGGTATGATAGGTGTTTTATTAATAAATTGCTGTTTTGGTTTTTATGTAAAGGTGAAACTGTGTGAACTTTGTTTTTATTTGAAGTATGTTTATGGTTTTGGGTCCTATATCGTTTCAGTAAGTAGTCTCAAATGGGGAATTGCTGGTTCATATCCCCCAAACAGTCTTTGTATTGTTTTTATATGAAGTCTGTTTATAGTTTTGGGTCCTATATCGTTTCAGTAAGTAGTCTCAAAATGGGGAATTGCTGGTTCATATCCCCCAAACAGTCATTCGTTAAAGATGACAGACAGGCATATGGCAGGGAGGTTGCGGGTTGTCAACCCGAAAAGGGATTATCCTTTCAGTCACTTCGTTGACAAGTGGATGTCTGACACATCCTTGATCTTCTAAGATACTCTGATGATCACATAAATACCCCAAACAAATCCCCCTAATTTTCTGATTTGTCCTGCATTTGAAACTATATTTGCAACAAAACAGAAGTGTAATTAAGTCATCTGGTAATCCTTTTTCACTAACATAATTATTTAAATATCGCAATGTGGATCTACGAATTAAGTGGAGGGTTTTTCCCAATTTGATTATAACCATCTACGACATTTCCCCCTTATTTTCGAATTTGTCCAGCAAATTTTAGGATTTCTGCACCAAACAAAAAAAATATTGAATCCCATAGTACAGAAATCCCTTAAGTTTCACATCAAGAATTACATATCAATTTTCACAAAAAAAACATTTTGCCAAATATTAACCCAAAACTCCTGACGAAGTATTCATCCCCACACATAGTTAGGAAATTTCCCAATTTTTTCCTTAATTTTCCTGCATTTGTAACGACTTTTGGGAAAAAAAAAACTGAATAAAATATACAAGAAATGCCAAGTGGAGGCGCTGGAGTGGGGAGCTGCAAGCCTGACCG